TCCTGAATTGTCAAAGTGAAGATCAGTCCTACTACGTCAGAAAGAAAAACCTTTAAACTTTGCATATGATTCTATAAATTTATCTACATCTTCCCATGTATTAAAAGTAAGGCCAATATGTAATAGCAATAGATTTTTTTGTGATTCTTCATCACTGAAAGAGTCTTGTGAACTGCTTAAAACAATTTACATAAACATATAAGTAAGTTATGAGCTCAAACCCAGTTTTAAAGATAAATTAGTATCCAACAGATAATGAACTCAAGTTATGAACAAACCTAATAAGAGAATACCGCTTATCTAACTTCATTTTCTGAACTAAAATTCTGATCACAATCTTCAAATAGCATTTCATTTTCTGAACCACCAGTAGCTTTATCCAGTAAGACGACTGTATAATTTTTAAAGCTAGAGTTTAAAATATAATAGAACATTTATTTTTTATAAGTTTTAATTTTTTGAATAGATGAGTATAGAAGATAAATTCTTAATTATCAGGGGCCTGAAAAGCACCAGATGATTAAAGTGTATTATTCTTCACTTAATATGATTCTATGACAGGATTTTTTAACCTAAATGATCTTTTAATCACATTAGTTTAAAAAGAATCTAAAATTTTGACCATAATAATATGATATTATTGCTAGCCAAGAGAATTATAACTTTACCGTATTCTATCACATGACAAAGGAATTTTAAGATCTTTGTTTAAATAATATTTTAAAATAAAACTATCATATAATCTAAAAATTCCTTTTGAATTTAGCACATATAAAAATTTAAAATGTACTAAAAATAAAAACAAGAATTATTAGAGAATAACAAGCACTACAGTGAAATAAAGGTAAAATATAACTTTTTTTTTTTTTTACTAATTAGAATGATTATAAGTAGAGATATGCCGTATATAGTATTTCTACCAAATTTCGGAGGTATCATATAAATGGCATACCTCTAATTATAAGTTAAAAAACTCTTTCATACAATCATAGAAAAGCGTAGAATAAATTAATGTTAAAGATCAACATATTATAACGAAATTTTGATAAATGTAGTGTTTAATAAACCAACATAGATAATTAATACCTTTGGGAGCTTTGGTTTTGCATAACCTCAGAGTTTATTTCTATAGCTAGATTGCTTAAAAATCTTCTTTCTAAATCTGAAACTACATCAAATTCTAGAGAACTACTTGATAATATTTTAAAATTAGTTAGAAAATAATCCGACATATAGCTATGAAATATATCTATTGATCTTCTGAACCTTTGTGTTGTAGCATTGAAAGATGTCGTGAAGCCAACAGACTCAAAAGTATAATCTTCCATTATATTTATATTTTTATAGATCTTTTAGCTGCTTCATCAATTATCTTTGTTGCTGTAAATATTGTAAATATTGTCATTACACTACACAATAAAATTCAATTTTTACTTGAATTCTTTATTGGATATTATCTTTTTAAGTGATATATGTGAATCCTTTGCACAAGCGAAAGAAGGCTGTTTTCTGTTTATAAATCCTTTGCATGAGCGAAAGAACGTTGTTTACTGTTCAACTATGATCATTTACTTCTTTCCTAATAATTACTTCATTGTATCATGATTTAGGCAGACAATATACATATATACGTACATATATACTACTACAATTATAATATAATGTTTGCATATGATTAACGTTAATAATTATGCACGATTATCTACTGCGAATTTTATTTATTACGAATATTTTATACGATTCTTTTTAAGCGTACTAAACAAGATCTATTACAATTATTTATTTGAGGTAAAAATTGCTTGATTTACAAATTGGGTAAAGCTCATTTGCTTTCGATCATAATTGTTTATTAACAAATAAGACAAATAATACACGTATGTGTTATATCTGTATGCACTCCGCTTTAACAATTAGCTACCCCACAAGTTTTTTTTTTTGTTATTTTTCTTATTATTAACTTTTTTTTTTTTTTTAATTTTATATATAGGTAATAATCACCTATAGTGAATATTAATTATTATCAAAATTTAAATATACTATTTATATTTAATATATAATGCTTGGGTATAGTTTAATTTTTTGGTTTGAATTAAACTTAATTCAACCTAAATTAAGCTTAATTTAGGCCAAATTAAGCTTAATTCAAACCAAAAAAATTAAACTATACCAAAGCATTATTTATAGTACAGTAGTAAAAAGTATTTTGTAACTAATAAAATTACAGAAACTTCAATATATATAAAGCTATTGTGCCTGATAAAGTGCATATTTTGGATCTCAGCCTCTTTAAGTATATGTTGAATTATACTAAAGAGCTTTTATTTGAACAATATAGGGGCCATATGTTACAAATCTTTGAATATTGATTAGTATTGATACTTAGATATAAAGGTCTTAAAATAATAAAGAATATAGATCTAATATATATAATGGCTAAAGAATTGCAGAATATAATGAAAATAATTATTTTTGTTCTTGATAATCTATATAAGAATTATAAAAGGCCAGAAATTAGTAATAAATATTTATACTAAATTTATTACAAATTTCTTCAAATGTATATTGCCACATATAAAGAATCATTTATTTACAATTTATATAACCAGCTTTAAGTATAAACAAATTTTTTTTTTTTTATTAATCAAATTACTAATAATAAATTGCACAGATTTTCATTATGCATTGGGCCAAAGAGTTTGTTAAAATTTTTTTAAAATACAATCCAAGTGGTCTCCAACTTCTTAAACTTTATATTTGGTATTACTATCTAATATCTGCAATTCACGAATATGTATTAGTAAATAGTATGACCACAGAAATCTATGAAACTTTTCACAAAAATTATATAAAAAGACCTTACTGTATGTCAAATAAAAGGAACTATATGAAGCAAGTAAAGATAATAAGTTATATATATTAAATAATCGATATCTATTGCTAAACACTAGTAAAAAAAAATTTATATTTTAATTAATAATTACTTGTAATATATTACAAATACAGTCCAGGAATATACCAAATTTGGAAATCAGATTCTAGAAGAATCTACAAACAGGTTCATGCATTTGATTGGTTATCATACTTTTTTTTTATATATGTATTTAGACTAGAGTTTTACCAAATTTCATATATCTATTTGTTATTAAATGATATATGAATAGATAATAAAAGCGACGAATCTCAGTAATCCCAAATAATCCCGCAAAGTAAATTGTCTGTAAAAAGGTAAATGAGAATGTAAATTTATGATTGTTCCTGCATATTGTCAAGTGAAATGAATTAAAAAAATATATTTTTCTAGTGTACTAACAAATAGAATGAACATAGACAAGAGTAAAAACAAACATAGCATTAATAGTAAAAGCAAACATAGTATAATAGTAAGAACAAATGTATCATGATAGTATGAACATAGCATAATAGCTGGTATATGGTAAGAAATAGCACAATAGTTGGGTGAACATAGTATGATAGGAACGAACATAGTATAATAATTGAGATGAGCACAATAGTTAAACAAACGTAGTATAATAGTTGAGACAAGCACGATAGTTAAACAAATATAGTACGATATATAGAATACACATAGTATGATAGTTAAAACATAGCAACAGTTGAAATAATATGATAGTTGGGTGAACATAGCATAATAGTAAAAACAAACATAGTATGATAGCTGGAATTAATATAGCATGATAGTTAGATAGATTCAGAATAAACACAGTATAATAGTTGAAGAAAACATAATATGATAGAGAAAACGTAGCATGATAGTTGGAGTATTGCATAGTATGATAATAGTATGATAATTTGGAATAAGAATAATAGGTAGATTCGTGATAAATATAAGAATGATAGGTAGATTCAGGGTGAATATAGTACAAGAGTTAGTAAATTCAGAATAAGAGTTAGGTAGATTTGAGATATTGCATAAGAGTTTGGCCTATTCATGATATAGCACGAGAGTTTGACACAAAAAATAGTTAGATTCTCAATATTGATTATAGCGTTAGATTCTTAATAAATAAAAAATAAAATTAATTTAAATAAAACGAAGTGAAAGTAAAAAAATTTTTTTACTTAATGATCAATTTTTGATTTGATTGGATCTATTTTTAAATATTTAAATATTAGGAACTGGAAACCGATATAAGAGGACCCCAAAGATCTCTGATACAACTTAGATCTGAGTTTATATAATATCAGCCAAATAAGTGTATAAAATAGGCCAAAATTTAAAAATTTACTATATAAAAATGCAATATTCGATGAATTTTTATACAAAATTTTCTTTTTTAGTAACCTTTGAGTTATATCAGAGATCTTTGGGGTCCTGGTGTAAGTCTGGAATGTAAATATTAAAATTATATTAAAACTAATTAAAAAAATAATTTCTAGTCTATAGTTATATATACAATAGTAAAGATCAGTATTATTGGTAAGAATTTATATGTATATATATTTGCGTTTATAAAAGCTGATGAACAGATCACACACTGTTATAAAAATATAGCATCCTAAACATTAATATTTAATGCTTATATCCCAATAGTTATTGTCAATTGTGTGTCTGGTTAAACTTATTAATTTTAAAAAAATAACATCTAAACTTAACAATTTATTGATACAATTACATATATAAATAACCTTTATTGATTAAATCGCTTGCTAACTAGTACAGTTAAATAATTTACCAAAATAATAATATAATAAATTATAGAATCATATGCAAAGTTTAAAGGTTTTTCTTTCTGACGTAGTAGGACTGATCTTCACTTTGACAATTCAGGA